TAAAGCTAAGCCTATACTAAGCATTCCTTAGTTCTCAAGGTCTAAGAATAGCGCTCTCTGTGAAGTGTGTGGCAGTAGAATGTGATTGACTAAGCCTGAAACGAAAGCTGATACAGGTCTCTCAGGTCATCTGGAGTGACAAAAACATATTACTGATGCATGACAGCAAGGATACTAGTAATGTACGGCACCACGAGAGGGAACGTTTTGATCCAAAGAATCAGCTGCCAATTGTGAAACTTGGCGGAGGCTTGATAAGGTTGCCTTGGAAAAAAGTGGGACCACGCTACACGACTGAGGTAGCGATGAAGGCAGACGTTTGCTGTCATGTTTTGGAAGGTGTCATGTATCCGTAGACATGGCTGCCACACGACCTGGCTTTGTCTGTCAGCAGAGCAGCGACTCAAAGCATCGGGCCTCTCACATGCAGGAGTGGTTTCGACAGCATGGGGTGCTTTTAAAAGACCAGCCAGGCCAGACTCTTGAGCCAAACATTACAGAACCACTAGGGGAGGACCTACAAATTCGTATGTCAATGAAAGAGCCACGAAAAGACGGGACTACAGAGAGAGACCCCACTAGAGAGTGAGTTCATTAGTTGACCCCGCATTCAAATCCAGTTTATGTATCCAATACTTTAGAGAGTTCTGGGCAATGTGCTAGACTTGCTTAAATGTTAGTGACTGTTTACTTGACTGTTCTGTTGGGTTATACATTATTTAAATCAAATAAACGGATCAAGTGATCTTTCACCTGCCTTCATTAATTTCGAAAAATCTAAAATTTTCTAAACCCAAATTTGAGCTGAAGGTTGAAATTTTCTGTGTGGATCATAAAACACGTAGTTAATAATTGTTGCAAATTTGGAGACGTTCCAGTGACTTTCAAAAGAGAAATCATGAAAAAACCGTTTGTTCATAAATTTCTGGCCACTACTGTAGGGTGTTGGGTCCGCCACTGTTGTGGTCGCACCCGCACTTGTACCTCTGAATAGCGCCTCACGGTTCTCCGCGCGCCATCACTCGTGGAATTGTTTCTGTACTATCTAAGTACGCTAGAGTTTGGTACCCCTACCAAACAGGATGCCACATTTGATATCTTTTCAGTATCCCTTATTGTTGGACCTGCGGAATTCCTTCGTCTCGGAGTTCTTCTCTCTCGAGAGCCCTTAAAGGAATCTTGCGCGGAAAATTCTTGCACTCTTTCCTAACATGAATATGTCAGTTGTGATCACTGGAAATAGCACACAAAGTTTCACGCATGAAGATTCGGTTTCTGAAGAGAAACAAACGTACAAAAACTACACGTTATGGACCATCGAAGGACCAGGAGGCAGAGCCAGGCGAGGCATGGAAAGAAGACGGCGTTTGGCCGGCTACGTACCAGGCGACGCAATGAGAGAATCGGGTTAAAGCGCGCGATTTCGGAGAGTGGAGACAAATCGATCGATGGAATAGGATGGAGTAGAAGTGTAAGATGTGAATGCAACGAAGCAGAAGGCCAGAAAGAGCTTCTAGTGAATGCACTCCAAGAACCAAGTTTGAGCATCCCCGTCGCCAGCATTCGTGAAAGACGTCCGTGGGCAATTCGAACGCGTAGCAGCCTTTTCGAGTTTTCGAATTTCTAATCAAAACGAAAGCAATACTTCAGTTCTTTTCACTATTATCGTGGATAATGAGTCTCAAGCCAGTGATTTATGGCTGAAATAGAATCATGATTTTTCCGCGCAAGATTCCTTTAATTCTATATCGCTGCTATTCGAAGGATTTTTTTTGGAAATCGGGTCTTTTGCTCAGTTATTGTAGTTTTTTCCTTGGCTTGTCTTTTCTGAACTGCGACGAAATTTCAATAAGACACAGTCAACTAAGCAGCAGTAATCGCACCCTAAGCCAAACCCAGCGTGGACATTTCTCACGGAAATACCACTGGTCGACGGTAATTCGTCAGCACGGCGGGCACCATCAAACACGACAAGTCCAGTGCTGATACACCTAATCCAAATTCACGGTCCCAGCAGCGCAAGAGAGCACGTGATATCCCCCGTGATACCACGCATAGCCATATCTCTAAATCGGCAAATCCACATTCTCAAAGTGCCTGATGGTTCGAACCCCATCAAGGGTAGGCCGCAAGTTTCAAAAACCTTACACCCAAAGGCCAAATACGATGATAGATACGATGACTCAGACAGCTGTTTTCCTGGGCTTTCGAAGCAAAAGGCATTTGATGCTCTAAACTTCATGGAACCCCAAAAAAGGTCGTCTTCTTAGTCAACCATACCAGCGAAGCTTTCCATGCGCTGTCCAGCCAGCCCTCTGCAGAGCACGAGTGGCCAGCTCGCATCGACATGAAAAACTTTCTTACCCTCCAACCCACTGGCTGTTAACGCAGGCAGCGAAGGGTGCTCTACTCCTGCTTCTGTACCAAAACATAAGAAACTATGGTTTACCCTTGAAGCTCAACTCTCACAAGGGCGGCATCACAACAACGCACGAAAAAGGAAGGCACATGTAGATAGACAAGAGAAGAACACCACGTGGGCGTAATGATTAGCTCTTGAGATGGCAAAGGTCCTCCCAAGCGATGGAGAGGTATCGAGCGTCTCGAGCTTTCTCGGTCCTAGACTTCGTCTGCACCCTCTCGCCTGAATAGGGCTTTACGGTCACAGCGACCTCACACGTACAGACTTTTGCTACATAAAAAAGTGGCTTACGCAGCTCTCCCCCTCCCCCTACCACCACGTCAGGGGCAGGAAAGCTCAAGTAGTCCGTAAACCGTAAGACGATGGGGCTCTCCGATGGAACTCCTTTCCACATTGCCACGCCCTGAAAGCCAAATATGAGTAACTACTGCCTTGTTGGAACTACACACGAGGTTGTCAACAATGTTTATTCGCTATCGTTTCGGCGCGGTCCCTTCGTGGGAGCCTAAAAAGATGCTAGTCGAGTTTGCAAGTATTCGACCAAATGTCTACCAACACGTGGGGCCGTAAGGTATGCTTCCCCAAACAGGAGAGGGACCCCTCCCTGGTAAGGTATG